TTGTGGTTAACCCGAAGATATCCGAACGCATTCGCATTTACCTGCTTCGTGTGTTTTCGTAATGTCATTCTAGTGTCATACACACAGGCGCATACTTACAGATCTAGCCGGATAATGAAATCTGCGAGCTTTGATCGATCGTAGTCGTTTCTGTTCAAATCGGTCAATTTGGATGAGCTACGGCATTTTTACGGCATATTTCTCATTTTTTGTACTTCTTCCAGAAATTGTCGAACTTATTCTAATGGTCAAATAGCGGTATTGGTGATGACATTGTTCTTTTGCGTTTGAAAATTTGATATACTCACGCAACTAAGCGATTGCAGTCATTTAATATTCATTAGAAAGCTGATATTTTAAATGAGCATACATTTTAATTACCTCTATTCTCTCGAGCAGAGACATGGATACTAAACATAGAAATAACTTACAATGTTTGTTTTACAATAATTGTTTTTCCGAATATTCTTTAACAAGGTCCATTTCTAATCATCATTTTCTTATTAAAAAAATTAGTTTTATTCAAAAAATGAGTTAGTATTTATAAATACATGTTTATTTATTATTAAAGAACAATAGTATTTGACCTTTTACGAACATAAGAATATAATTTCGAATAGAAGCTTAAATTTACGCATACTCAATAGGGTAAACAAAGTAAACATTACCAAAATGAAATAATGCTTAAATTTAAGCTTCACGAATAAAAATGTTAAATACAGCAGTTGAGTGAAAAAGTACTTATATGCAAAGAAAATCTTAATATTAAGCTTCACAAGTAAAATGTTTATAATGATTAAAGCATTTGGAACTGTGTATTAAAATGTTTTTGGAGATTAGACTCGGCCTGGTGGAGCGGCCCAACATCACGTGTCATTGACTGGCAGCAGTTAACTATTCAAGCTTAGTAGCGCGTCCCCTTTTCCAGTTCGTGTTTTTGACGTTTATCCGACAAAATCTGAACTTGTACACTATTTATTGCCATAAATACACTGCTGTGGTATTCATAGTCACATACATTTACTTTGGCATGACATGTAAGTTCGAGAAAACGCGTTTTTACCGGAGCGTGGCTGAAGCTGTTTAGTACTGCGTGACTTTCAAGCAAATAATCCCTATTGTTTAAAAGCGTATTTGTAGTATCCATAAATACCCATTTATACTGACTTGTTTATGCAACACGCCGTTCACAAAGCCCCATAGATCATTGGAAAGCTGGGCTCTGTGCAATGGTGGACGGAAGTTTCGGCCGAGGAGTTCGATCAAAAGTTCATTCGTAGAAACTCTGAACAATCGTCATAATCAATCGTTGTAATTCAAAAATAGTTCTCTGTACAGTGGAACACAAATTGACTACAGATGCCAACTCACAGTACAAGTGTTATTCAGCAGACAGTTTGAATGTAGAAAAATTGAGAGGTAGAATTAGTTTACCCTATTTCAGCATAGTTACAGCATAGACCTTAAAATTCCAGGTCTATGGTTAAACACGCCACCAGTCAGCTGTTCTTGTGATGAATGAGAACTGTTGTCATCAAAAGTTAAGGTCGTGATTGACCCACTCCCGCTGCATAGGAAATCTTGAAATACAGCTGGAAACGTCGATTCCGGTTCACTTTCCCGAAAACACAGTTCTCTTCTCACAAACTAGCTGAAAACGAGAACTACGATTTAAAGATGAAATCACTTATAACAAGCGAGTACATGGCTATTTAGTGCTGATTAGGACAGAAACTAATTAGTATAATAGGAATTGAGGTGATTAATATTAATTAGTCGACAAATTAATAATTTAACTAATTAGGCATGTGATAATAGTGTATTGGTTGCGGTTCATTTAGTTTTTAATTTTGAGCTATTGATCTTACAGTTATCAAGATTACAGAAGATATAAGCACATACCAGGCAATTTCTCAGAAACAATGGGTAGAGCTGTTTTTCACTCCATATACGGATCGGGAAATCTTAGAATCATTAAAACCTGTCGAAAAGTACACCGTCATTATCAGATAATGAACTGATTAACCTATAGGGTATGTTCAGAGGTGGAGTTACCCCTAGTAAAGATCTTAGTTTAGCTTGCACGTTTGGATTAGTCAGCATATAGTTCCCAGAGTATCAGTCCACAGCGTTTTACGACAGTTCTGTGGGAAGCAGTTGCATTTCAGATTAGCCATGGACGTACTAACATGTTAGTCAATAGTGACAAACACGGTCACTTTGAATGTATATATTTACCACCAATGAATGAAAAGTAAACATTTGATATGAAACACCGCAAAATTCTGAAAAAAAATGTATTCATTTGAAGGATTGTATTTGTAAGCTTAAAAAAGTTGTCTTACCAGTGAGACTAGTTACTTCAAATTAGGTACTAGATCATTAAAGATTATAGGGATATTTATGAATTGACGTCATTATTTTTAGTAAATTGACTTCGTTAGGATTGTAACTTCAAGAGGTTATACGTCATTATTTCTTATGACCAATTAAAAAGAACGTGTTATGTGACAATAGCTAAGACAATAATCTATCGCCTCCTGTACCAGGAGCTATGAAATAACAAGTCTGCAATTACCTATTCTAGGAGCTCCATTCATCTTCTTTTGTATCTGCGCACACAAACAATTGACTGGCACAGAACACACTAATTGCTCAATACATATTTGACCTGTGACCCTGTCATAGTTTTTGTTTCATTATAGTTACATATATATATATATTTGTAAACATGTTCTATATGGTGATTTTCAAGTATTGCTACGTTTTACTATGATACATACGGCCACACTAATGAATGAATTTGCAACTTAAATAATCACATATTTTTTATGATTTACTTGAAATGAAATATACACGTGTGCAATTGACATGCGCAAGCACATTTTAGATGTGCATTGAATACATATTTATAAAAAAAATTCATGATAGAGATTTTAAGCATAGTGATTAAAAATATGAAAAATATAAGGACACGTGTCTTATCTGTCTAGTTCAGGTGTTCAATTTCATCAAATATCGCTTACATGCAAAATGTGTGTTTACACTGACATTTGTTTTGGTGATAATACGTTTAATTCAAAATTTTACTAAACCAGTAATAATGTTGCCGATTGCTATTGTAAACGAGCAGCAGTTAAAAGGTAGGGGAATGGCGATAACAAATAAATAGACATCTCAAATGCACATCCTGAAAGGGTCAGCCACTTGAAGAATAATACAGTAGACTTTACTAGTTTCGCATATCTAGCTCATACACGATATGAATATAGATAGATTATGGCCATCATCCACGCATTTAGTATATTTCACTCTCCACAAATATGTGGAGGCAGTAAGGTGAAACATTGAAAATTCGAGATTGTGGGAAAATCCATGGAAACAAAAACGATACTTGCATAGATTGGCAATGTCAATCAAAATGTGTGTACTGGTGAATGTGGTTGCGAGTCTACCCGATATAGTGTGGCAATATACATACCGCGGACAAGTCGGTTAAAGCACGGCTCCGCAATCCCAGGGATTGCATCAGTGCGTCATGGGAAATGTAATTTGCATGGTCAGCCCAGTTGTTAACTTGGTACAGAGCTGGTATCATTTGTTATCATTTCAACCGAAGGCGTTAATTCCGTAAGCTGACATAATGCATTACGCTATAATCCGATTTGAATTCCAACTCTCACGGGGCCCTGCAATCTTTTTAAAGCAGTTGTCTTACTTGCATCATAGAGCTCCTTATTTAGTTCCGCGCTTGCAACGATTACTGTGGTTTATTTGAATGAAATAGACAATGTATAGTATCGCAAAGTACAACGTTTGCCATAACGTGTCTTGTCGGCTAGGCAATAATAACGTTGTGCAACGCGATAAAGAGGCTCCAACAAATTAAAATAAGAAAAATGTCATGATACAGCTAGGTGGTACGAATATATGTGCGACTCATACGTTACAGAACACGGACACGCATTACGCAATGTTTCCAGTCAACAATCATTTCACTGGGGGATATAGTTCAGGAAACATAACATTTTGGAACGGGAACTTTCGATTTATTTTTTTCGAGACACATTTGTACTTTTTAAAATTGTCGAGAATGTCATATATAAATTCAAAAAAAACATTCGCATATTCGAAGCATACTGTCGGGGAATTATTTGTTGACGAGCCCCTCGAACGAACCCCGCTATTATCATAACCAGCCAGGCCCGTAACAACCGCCAATAAACTAGGATAGTACCGACAGAATGGTTCGTCTTGTCATCGACAATGGGGTTTCCGCTTTAAAAATAAGGATCGAGCAAGTTATTGGAATGTTTACGCACAGTCCATCCCCTTTCGTGCACAGCTCAGCTCAGCTCATGCCATCCGCACTCGCTCGGGCCGGACCACTTCGGTGACTGGACAAACAGCTCACAGCCTCATGATCCCACGTACATATACCATCAACTCCGTAATTATATAAACATATCCAGAGATTGAACAAACTCGAGACTAACACCTTGCATGTACATAAGCACGTGACTGTTCGAATCATGCTTTCCCATAGCTTGTACGTGGAAATCACACTGACAATTGCTCTGAACGTGTAAATTAAATCGAAATTGTATTGCGGATATATTCATGTTTGTGTACGACATGAAAATAAATCACCATTGAACATTTTATCTAATTTTGAAAAAAAAAATTCACTCTTTAAAAAATTACGCTCTGTATACACCACTCTTCGCTACGTCAGACCAAGTGCTTTCTATTTTTGTTGTATACTTTTCCACGACTACGTGGTTGTAAATCTAAACACTTTTATTGGGCTCATAACAACATAATAGAATGTAACAAGTAAGAAATGGGAATTCCCCTATTTTTGACTCCTACGCGCTTGTCTTTGTACTCAATTTGTCATTATCCGTGTTTGGTGATGAATAATAATAACTCCTGTTTCGCCATGTAAGACTATGGGCGGTTAGTAACCTTGGTCTTATCGAGCGATAATCGGTAATGGTTTTCAAGTGGAGAAAGACTACTTTAACAAGTGTACTAAATTTTGGTCAATGTAATAAACTTGTTTGTAAAAGCGCCGCATATGACGACAAAGTCAGTGTCACTGTGGTATACGTATAGATGACTCTGACTAAAGCTAAAAATTTGCCCCTTTTGTTAAGCTGTGGACCCTGGATTTGTACCAACGATTTCCTGATCAACGAGAGATTACGCTAAGTAGGGAATCAATGCTATAATGAAACACGTAGTTCTCTGTAATATCACGCTTACTAAATCCGGTGCGCTTTCAATGGGGTATTGTTCATTTTTCTATTATAAGGAGTTACGTAATACACGTACAACTACAATTTGCCAATTTCCCAATATTAAAGTGCGGCAACCCGGACAAGAACGGCAGTTAATTGTCTGTTTAGAGTCTCAATTCTAGTAAACGCTACGGGCCTCGGACGTTTCCTAGGTTGTTAGCTTCCTTTAACTATTAGTAATTACGCAACACATTAACAAATAGTTTAAATGCAGTATGTACAAATATAGAAGCCTAAATAGGCTAGGCTGAAATGTGCTTACTCGCGACCGAGACTCCAAAAGTATGATCGAGCACCACCATAATCGTAATAGACAACATCTATTAAATGGTGCTGGCGGTGAAGTTATATGTTCTCACATAATAACACTGATTAAATGCTTATAATATCTTGTCCTTTAAGTGAACCAAAAACATATTAAGTACAATCATTCAGTAAATATTAAAACTAGGGCCGCCGTTGCACTAGGTTCCATAATGACGGCCATGATTTCGGGTATTCGAAGGACGTTACTATGAAAGTGGTTCATTTAAATAAATAACTAATTATAGAAATAAATAATTAAATTATTTCGCAATTTCAAAACTAGAACTCTGGTTCAATATAGACTCATATAACTTGAAGAATAATAGTGTAACAGTACCATTGTCACGTTTCGCATATCTAGCTCATATATGATATGAATATAGCATATAGTATGGGCATCATCCACGTATTTAGTATCTGTACATTTCACTCTCCACAAATATATGGAGGCAGTAAGCTGAAACATTATACCTTGTAAATTCAAGATTATTGAAGAATACATAGAAATGAAAACGATCCTTGCATAGATTAGCAATGTCAATCAAAATGAGTGTGCTGGTGCATATAAACTTCCCCGAAATGAAATGGAACATCCCTAAAACCACGATTGTATATAAAAAGGCGCACCGAGACGTACACGAACAGTTTCTGACTACTGGTATACATTTACATGATGTCAACAACAGAGCCAGAGATGTTGTACCCCTCATCTTCTATGAGCTTTGTTACTAACATGGCTATAGGCACTTACTTGACGTCAATATGTAAGTATATAATTTTTCTGTTCTGTTTTGACTTGTGTTGTATTCAATGTACGCATTGCCGCCAGAGTACACTGTATATGTACAATTAGTTTGGATGCCATACGAATGCAATAAACTATGTTTTTCAAAATTTGTATTCAAGTTCATTGCTTGCACTGGGCTGAAACTAACACCGTAGGAGACATTTGTTGAGAATACGTCGCATTAAATATAAAACCCTTAAATATAGATGCAAATACCAAAAGAAATGCAGGAAGTGGATGTACGAGCCATCGTTGCATGTATTATCTCTGCCCAACAGTTTCACACCTAAATGCATGGTTGCAAGTATGTCTATGCGATATAGCGCGGCGGCCAACCTTGTGCCCTGTGCCAAAACACCCTCTCGGTTAACGTATTTACAGTAATATCTTTGTCTCATGCCTATTGTCTTAAACATGATTCTTACTTTTGGTAACGGACTTTTTTCGTTCGGTATCTTTTGTCAGATTTACTAGAAATGTACTATAATTTCTTACCATATACATGCTTTAGGAATTTATTAGTTCACTAATCGGAGTACTACTTATTTTTTGGCTCTTCTCTATTTGTCTCAACAGTTTTTGTGCAGGATTTACTAGGAAACAATGTTTTCCTTGTTCCGAACAGCACCCGTCATCTAGTTTCTTTGTTCTCCATAATACTCGTTTACTAGGAAAGTACTGTTGTTTGTAGAACGATCTTGTTCCACGTGATCCGCCACTATTTAACTAGAGTCACGTGACGTGCTCTATACAATAAAGTCAGTTTATTATTATCTCCGTATTTATGAGACAATACGTTGACTAAATGATTGCGTTTTGGGAATGGGATAAAATGTTACAATATAAAATGTTATACAATATAACTCGAGCAAATTTCGTGCTCCACATATGTGCCTAGCCCGTGATTGTTCAGTTATATTGACCAATTAGATTCGTTAAAGTCTCGCGTATAGTGGTTGCTATTCATGTTTGTTATACTGCCCTCAACGGTATTTGTTATTACAATAAAGCAGCTCCATTCGCCAAGGTAGTGCAGCGAGAGTGGAGCCGATTGTTATTCAATCCTGGTGTGCCCTGTAATCACAAAAAACGGATTATTTAATGCATTTGAACTAATTTTTAATTTTATTGTGAAATTTTAACCTGTATTAAACATTTTATCTAATTTTGAAAAAACACACTTTTTGTACCAACGACTCCAGATCAACGAGCGATTGCGCTAAATAGGGAATTTGTGCTTGAATGCAACATGTAGTTCTCTGTAATATTAATTACTTACATAAATCAGGTGCTCTTTCAATGGGTCATTGTCCATTGTTTTTTCTATCCAAATGAGTTACTCACTGACCAACGCGAGCACCACCAGAGTCGCAATAACACTTATTAAATGGCGCTGGCGATGAAGTTTTATGTTGTAACGCAATAACACTGATGTAAATTTTTATGATCTCATGCCCTTCAAGTGAACTATAGAATAAGCCATTCGGTAAACATAAATATCAGGGCCGTCAAATATAGTCTCTAATAAGCATAAAGGCAATACGTCTGCCCAATGAACCAGCATATTTCACTGTTTAAATAGCAAAGATTTCCTAGTTATCTTCACTTAATTTATCCTGAATAACTTACCACCAAGGACACACAAGAGAGCATGAATTCAGTTTCTTACCTTGGTCTGTTCCTACAAAATAAACTTTATGGTTTACACTGTAAGTTGCAAGATAGGCGGGATAATTTCAATTTTGGAATTATCAATTTCTCGTATCTTTTAAAAGTAACAGCTCTAACTGAAAAGCTAGTTAAGGAAGGTCAAACAGAAAAGTTTATTTCCTAGACATTAATTTAAGATAATTACCAAATATCTGTCAAGCAAATTATACAAGACAACATTCCTAATTATGACTATATAGATCATAGATTAGATGCCTATTTACGTGACGTAACATAAGACCAATCATGATGGGTGTGACTGGTCAGCAAGTTATGCTTACTCATATCGAACACCTGTTATCCCCGATAAGTTGTTAACAGCGAACTAGCAACAATTTGTTGCGTTGTAAGGCTTCGAACACTCCTCCTGTTGTGACAAACTCTTGTCAATCGCTGTTTTGCACAGTAACGCTAAATAATCTACGCGTTGTTATCAGTTTATACGCATTTACTTACAGAACGCTAATTGACACCCTAAATTTCAGTAGCCACACCCCCTCAATTCTGTCCACGCGGCTTCGTGAAAGCATTTAAACAGCGTATGAGTGTTGATTATTAATGTATCGTTCGTGTTTGGAATCCAATTCTAATAAATCTATTGAATGTTTTTGTTTAGGCCTACTGTCACTGTTCGGCAATGTAATTTATTTAGCTTCGAAATTTAAACAGAGAAAACAGCTAAAGATACCAGACTATTTATTAGCTAACATCGCCATTGCTGATATTGGCGCCGTTACTACTAGTTATATGTTAGCGGCAATTTCATCTTTTAGTACTAAGGTAAGTGAAACAGTTGATCATTAATTCCTCGTTAAAACTCATTATTTCAACGGTCAGTCAGCCATTCAGTAAGTCATTCAGTCAATAAATAATCTGTAGCAATTATCGAATTTGTCACATTTTTACTATGTAGGATGTCTTTCATCTCACATTGGAAACATGATTAATTGAATATGCAGATGTTAAGTACCTCATTTGGTTCACTATTTTGTTGAATTTTGGAATCATAACATAAGACGTCTATTAAAAATAAAGTACTTCCCAAAATTGCATCTTGAGATTGCAGCAAAGAGTAGTTTTGCTACTGAGTCTGTAGCGTAATTAGATTCATAGTGGTAATCGGTAAATAACAGTTGTTACTTCTAATTAAATGTTGATATGTTGATAATACTCTCCCACTTTTCAAACTTTTCTACACTGTTTACCAAAGGGGCTTGTATTGCACCTATGATTAGGCTGTTGATGAGCCACACACATGTTATGATAATATTCTTTTTTACTTCTCAAGTGGCGTTTTGGTTCAATTGGATGTACTTTGACTGGATTTTCTGGTTGGTTCTTCAACTGTGTCAGTATGATAACGTTGGCTGTCGTGGCAATCGTGCGACGTTTACTTGTTGTAAATAACCATGGTAAGTATGTATATACCATCATTACACGTGTTTGTAAAATAACATGAATTAAAAACTACTGAAAGTAAACAATCTCGTGTCTTAGCCAACTATTCAATATTATGTATCGCTTTACACAAGTATGTTAATATCACTAATTTAGTATTCTACACTTCAGTGTGATAACCAACTGATAACCATTGTAATATGTTGAATTAGCTTGTAGTATTCTGATTTAGTAAATGGGGGTTTGGCTATCCCCTATCTCCTAATATACATGTTCATGCCCCTGGGCTTATACTCGGGGAAGTACGGAAGATCATAGTTAAGCAGTGTATTTCGATCAAGGGTCTAACATCTCTAATAAAAATATGGTGTTCATCAGGGGTCGGTGCTCGAGCCGCTTTTTCCAGCATGTACACTTTCCCACTTGGTAGTATTATAGAACATCATGGGCTATCATATCATCTCTATGCTGATGATACCCAGTTATACATATCATTTCAACCAAACTCAGTATATGATCGTGACATAGCTATGACTAATCTTAAGAATTGTGTCAGTGAACTGAAAGATTGAATGTACTGCAATAAGCTAAAACAGATATTTTAGTTGTTGGCATGCCTCAGTAAATTAAGAAATTTAATTTAATTTAAACATTTGAATATGGCAAGTCATGTTAGTCAGGTAACAAAATCATAATTTTATCATCTGTATAGGATTTCCCAGATCAGAAAATATCTTTCAATAAAAACTACCGAGATTATTGTTCATACTCTTGTGGGATCAAGGCTTGATTACTGCAATAGTTTATTATATGGTATGACGAATGTGCAATTATCTAAATTGCAGAGGGTACAGAATGTAGCAGCTAGAATTGTTGTGAAGAAAAGAAAATATGCCCATATTACACCTGCTTTCATTTCTCTTCACTGGCTCCCAGTGAAGGATCGTATTGTATATGAATTATTGCTGTTAGTATACACAGCCCTCAACGGCCAGTCCCCCAAATATATTACTATTATTATTATTGGAGTATATTGCTTTATATTGTAGTATTCTGATTTAGATTGCATTATGTTGAATTAGATTATAGTACTCTGATTGATATTGGAGTATGTTGATATAGATTTCAGTCTTCTGATTTAGACTGTAGTATTGTGATTTAGATTATTACCAAACGCTTCAGCGTGGTATTAAGAATTTGATTTCAGAGTTGGGTGATACCAAGGTGAGAAATGGTTGCACATATGGGGGTAATTCCAGGAATTGCAATAGAGAGGGTTCAGGCCAAAATACAATATATAGTGTTTTCATGTTTCGTCTGATATTTCTGTGGTATTCTGCTGCTGTAACTAATGCAAGATTTGTTCTGAAATTCAGTGTATTGTGTGCACTCAAGGGTTATTCGTTTTTTGCTGAAAAGACCCCTATTTTTAATGGCAGATTCGAACTACGTTCACTCCCACTGGGAAATATGCATTGTCGCTTTAATAAGAGCTAATTAAACACATTTTCCAGACCGGCGAAAGAGTATGTAACAGCCAATTGTAACAGCCTGTCACGTGATTTTACTCTGAATGTCAACATGGAAAGAGGCTATTCCATTTTACGCAGGAATAGTTGGGAGTAGAATATGTGAAGGATTGTATAAACAGAGATGTGTATACTGAAAAAGTAATATCTATCCTTCTTTTGCATGGCTGAGTATTTCTTTTTTAGTATATTTGTTTTAAAATGCTA